AAAATAAAAAAATTCCGGACTGTCTGGAGCAGTCCAGCCACAGGTCCGGCCGGACGTCTGGACTGGTCCGGTGTCCAGGGGCTAGGTCCCACTTGCACGAATTAAGACCGTAGATAGCAAAGATCAACGGCCAGAATCTCTTAATCCGTGCAAGTGGGACCTTGCCCCAGGTTCAGCGTAACCATGGTTGTATGTTATCCGAAGCTGAAGCTGAGTGTTACCACGTGATTGTGATCGGCAGACTGTGGAACGAGCAAACAGCTAGACACATGGCCAAGTGGGCCCTGCCTCTTACTTGTCTTCAGACAGGGACAGAAATGGACGGCACCCAACGAGGTCCTCGTCTCCAGGGGAGGCTCATTCCACTCACTTCCCCATGCGGTGAGCCTTGCAGCCGTATAATAAATGGAAAGGCCGTAATGGAATGAAGAGTGGACAGATGATTATAACTTGATAGGTGTTAGTTGGCGTTCTTTCTTCGTCTGCGTTTGTATTCATTTCGTTTCGCCGGTTGTGAATTTGGATTTATCAATTGTATGCAGCAAATAATTTTTTAAAATTTTAAAATTTATTTATTTATTATTTTTGCACGGAAGATTTCTCAGTTGCTAGATGATTGCAGGTTCCGGAAAAAAAAAAGAAAAAAAAAGAAAACAAAAAAACAGGGAATTCAGCTCAGTTGTGCGTCGCATTTCTGCAGCATGTTGATTTGTATGTTTTGCCTGGCATAAAAGGATTAACTTGGGTTTCCTTTGTTGCAGGTATGATCGGGGCAGCTGATATATTTACATCCCAGGTGCAGTAGAAGGGTATTAAGTCCCTTTTTATGAGTCCCTTCTATCGTTATCGTGACTTGGGACAACGATAAGTCCATAGAAACCAGAGGCGAGGTGAGGGTTGTGTCTTTTCCATAATAGATGGGTAGGGGTTCGGTGACATGATCCAGGTGGGTGAACAGTGGAGGAGGGGAGCAGGCAGGGGAGTGGGAGGAGGGTATGTCCATGCCCTTGGAAGCTTCCAGGTCAGTGCAGCAGTGCCTGCAGGCATGCCCTTCCTTTCCTAAAATGTGGGTGTCAGGCTCTTGTAGACTAGATGTGCGCTTGAGCAATCATATCTTGCCGAAGCTTCGCCCCCCCCCTCAGCTGCGTTGTTGTCCATTTCGGCACAGAGTGCTTGGCCATCTGCCCTGTGGAGCAGAAAGCATGTGGAGATCGTCCTCATCATCCTCGCGAGTTCTATGGCGCAGTTTTGGTTGCCTGCGAGCTCACCGATCAGCGTCAGGCGTGAAGACGTCGGTCGTTGCACGTTGCGGTTTCGCAGAGGTTGGCGATGGCCCGCTGGTCGTCGGCAAGGGCAGCTTTCTGCTGAGCAGGCCAAGCTGGTTTGGCTGTCAGTCCTTGTTCCATGCGTCGACGGGCCCTTGGAAGAAGCTAGATGGGCGAGTCGCAATGGAGTTGTGTTCGCTGCGTTCGGGTTCAATGCAGCTTGGCGTGCTCAGCCATCGGTATGCAGGTGTTGTGGGTGAGACTGCAGCAGCTGTGCACTTGGTCCATCCGCATGCAGGTGTTGTGGGTGCACGGGGGAATTCGACGGCAATTGAGGGTGCTCCTCCTCCGGGGGATCGACGACCGGCAGCTGGAGGTTGGCGTGAACCGAGGTCTGTAGCTCAGAATGACAAAGACGAGGTTCCCGAGTGGGTGAGACGAACGGCTTTTGGCAGGGAAAAGGGTAGCAGAGAAGGGATTCGAGGAGAGAGGAATGGAGGGAGAGGCGATTGGAGGAGGAGAGATGGCTTTGAGAACAGAGGAGGAGGGTCACAAGGGTTCGGCAGAGGACAGGAAGGCGCCAGCTTTGATAGATCTGGAACAAGAGGTGCCGGTGTAAGAGACCGGACAAGGAGGGATGACGACAGGAGCGATTACTCACGAAGGGATAGCGAGCTTGAGGGCAGGAGCTGGAATCGGCGAGGTGGGGAAACTACAGACGGGGGAAGGCGATCGGATCGGTGGGCAGGAAGCGAGAGAAGAGATGGATCTGATCGACGGGCAGGAAGCGAGAGAAGAGATGGATCTGATCGGTGGGCAGGAAGCAAGAGAAGAGATGGAGCGGATCGGTGGGCAGGAAGCGAGAGAAGAGATGGAGCGGATCGGTGGGCAGGAAGCGAGAGAAGAGAGGGATCGGATCGGTGGGCAGGAAGCGAGAGAAGAGAGGGATACATGCCCAGACAAAGAGGTCAGGATAGACCAGATGAGAGAACGCATAGGTATGCACGAAGAAGGGCTGATGATGACTTTGATACAGACGGCAGAGAGCAGAATGATTGGGGGGAAGAACGGGCAGGTGGTGGGAACAGGCGGAATAGAAATGGGCCCAAGGACTGGGAAATGCGAGGGAGGGTGGCGCCGCGAAGACAGGGAGCGTTTCTGAACGACAGCACGTACGGAAAGGATGAACGCGGTGGGGAGTGGGGTAAATCACACATTCCAAGGGGGTCTAACAACTGGTGGGAGAGAGAGGGACTCGCTCTACCACGAAAGAGCAATGGCAGAGGAGAGAAGCTGCAGGGCGAAGAGCGGCCAAGTGCATGGACTGGGGTCAATTGGAAAGGCGCCAGTCAGCAAGACACAGACTGGAGGAGGCTCATCAAGGGAGTACGATCGGATGTAAGGAGTCGTTTGCCTGTCCCAAAACGACTAAGTGTTGAGAAGGACTGGCTCGAGCTGGAAGATACCAAGGCGCTTACGCGAGCACTGCTAGAAGCTGGAGATGCAAGAGCTGCCTTGGAGGTGAGTGAGCTCGGCGCCCGCAGCAAAGTACCAGTTGCTGAGTCTTTCTTGTGCACTCAAAACTCAGACGAATGGCGCTCTCACGGTCACAGGCTACACCACTGCTGCTATGCTTGCGCTAAGTTAGCAAGAACCTAGCCGTTTTCATGACCGGGTGCTGCTGGCGGTTTCTGTCTGAGTACTAACCCGGCACCCGTGGGGTCTAGCCCTGGTGATGATAATGTGGGTTTTGTCTTTGTGTGGGAGGGCAAAACACATGGGCAACCAGCTGGTTGTATGAAAACCAGCTGGGGGGGGTTTCAAAGTTTGGGACTCGGGCCAGGAGTAGGGACTTGTCTTGGGCCCACAATGATTGGGCCCACATCGTTCTTTGGGTCTGCCGATTCTGGGCTTTCAGGCCCCGAGTTGTGCCAAATAGTGATCAGCCCACTTCAGACGCAGTCTTAGACAAAGTCCCAGCAATTTTTTTTTTATTTTTTTTTTCTTTGACAAAACACCTCGTTTTGGGTGGGTCCCCTGGTGTCATTCATATGAGCACCTCCTGGTACTACCCCGGCACCCGGGGCTCCGATCTTATTGGGGGGGGGGAGCAACAACAGCTGCCGGAAAACGGGCCAAGATACAGTTTGCAATTGCACTTTGGGCACCCTACCTGGCCACAAAGCTGGCTTGTATACATTGCCCGAACTGCAGTTTGAAACTGTATCTTGGCCCATAGTGCAATTATAACTCATTTTTGTGACTCCCACGTAATTTCCCCTAGATCAGAACTGTCAACTCGATAATACTCGATTACCCGCAGCCGGCCTGATCATTGGCAATATAGGTCGCCGCTTTTGCCCTTGAAAGTTTTGAAAATTACAAAATATTATAAAAGGAAAGCGAAAAAAAAGTTTAAAAACTTAGTAAAAAGGGAAAATATTCAAAATAAAGAAGTCCTTGTGGGTATCCATTGGAATTGGAATTATACAGAGAGGGAAGATTAGCATGGCCCCTGCCTCAATGAACACACCCATTAATTGCGAAATGGATTTAAAAAAAAGAAAAAAAACCAGAACATCTATGCAGATCTTGGGAAATTATAGCCTGGTGACTCCGTGGGGAGGCCCGGCCCTTGCTCTGTTCTTGTTTTCACTTGGCTGATGGGTTCTGTTAGAGATGTAGGACTCTTAACGCTCACTATAGCCAGATGTTGTTGTGTTTGTTTGATTGTAATGTCTTCCTCACAGACCTGGAAATGGGCCAGAACGACAGACTGGTATGTCCCCGATCAGGAGATCGACTCGAGCTTGATCGTTGCCATTGCTGCGACCGGACGGACAAAGTTTGTCGTGGGGATCTTAGATAACATGGCAACAGCGAGGATGACCCCCAGCTGGGAGGCATACTTGGCTATGTTTGAGATGTACAAGCAGAAAGTGATGATGAAAGAGTTTGTCGATACCTACCGTCATCTTCGGCAGTATACGGAATTCGAACCGACTGAAGAGATGTACCGATCTGTTCTTAAAGCTTGCAGGCAGAGTAATGTGTCGCTGGAGGGTACAGAGCAGGTGGTCGGTGAAATGCTAGGCAAGGGGATGGCGCTCGACATGGACGAGATCTCGCACATTGTTGATATCTGTGGCAGAGAAGGAAAGCTGGACAAAGTGGAACCTCTGCTGAGCAGCATCAAGAAGGACGGAGCGGAGGACTTCGACAGTGATGTCTTGCTGACTTTGTTGACTGGTTATGGAAGGTGGGGAGATGTAGAGCGTGCACAAAGTCTTTATAAACGGCTCGAGGCAACAGGAGAAGCTCTATCTTGGCGTGCATACGCTGCATTGATGCAAGCATATGCTAAGGTGGGCGCTCTGGATGATGCGTTTGCCGTGCGCGAGCGGGCAAGGGCGGCTGGGGTGACGTTCAGCCTCGTCGTTTTTGAACCTCTCTTGAGAGCCCTCATGAAAGCTGGAATGGTGGACAAGGTCGAGTTGGAAATGGTACCTGACATCCTGAACGAGGGTGTCCCGACAGACGCAGTCTGCAACAAACTCATACGGCTGTATGGGGATTCTGGCATGGTGGACAAGGTTCAAGGGGTTCGCGAAACTGTTGATGGATTGGGGTTGGGATGGCAGTATCCATCGTACAAGTCGATGCTGGAGGTCTATCTGAAGGCTGAGCGCTGGGAAGAGGCATTTGATGTCGCAAGGGCGGCTGTGAAAAAACAGCTCGTGGAGCCAGAGACGGTGTACGAGAGATTGGTCGTGGAGAGCGCTGATGCGAAGCTATGGGAGCAGGTGTTACAGCTGCACGACGAAGCAAGGCAGAGTTGCAAGGAAGTACCCGCTCTCGTGAGGACGTGGAGGAGAAGAGCACTCACGTTTATGAGCAAAGAGTCCAGGGCTAGTAAGAAGGACGCAGAGAGAAGCCAGAAGGATGCCAAGGAGGAGGTGGTGGACATGCCTCTGAAGGCAACAACCGCAGGTAAGGCGGCGAAGTTATTACCCGAAGAGAAGCTGAAGCTGATGGGTTGTATCATGGGAGGTGCGAGAGTCGAGAGTAGAAACAAGGGACGGACATATCTGGTGGCGTTTGAGCAAGATCTGCGCCGGCCTGGTTCAAGGGATGTGATCCAGCATCTGTACGAGTTGTTCGGCAAGTGGGCAGCTACAGCTCCTCGGGAGTACGACAGAATTGTGGAGAAGACGGTCAAAATCAAGACGGGTGAAGGAGGGGTGGAAGAAAAGACGATCAAGGTGCGACGAAAATTCATTGGGTTCGAAACTCACTCGCTGGGGACCTTCCGCTTCTACTTTCACCAGTTCTACACGAAAGAGGGGAGAAGATGTGTTCCACGCCTCATTCATCGGTGGCTCAAACCGCAGACGATTGCATACTGGTTGATGTGCGGCGGGCGGAGGGGGGGTGGCATTGGAGGCGGACGCGGGGGGATTGTTTTTAACTCAGATGGTTATGATGTGAATGACATACAGCGGCTTCGAAAGGTGGTCGAGGGTGTGAGGCCTGAGCATGGCGACGTGAAGGGAAAGAAGGATGCATTCTTCCGAGTCAGAGGAAAGACTGTGGAGTGGCTGTGGAAGAGCGTGCAGCCAATCGTGGTGCCAGCGGTGAGGAACTGGCTCTGCCCATGGCCCTCCGAGGCTGCCAAGCAAGAAGGTACCACAGTTGCCAGTGTCGCGGACAATCTAGAAGGGAGCGAATTCGATGTGGAAGATTGGGAGGGTGAAGATAATGAGGAGGTGGTTTCTGATGAGGAGGCAAGACGAGCTCAAAGAGCTGGAAAGATTATGAATACCTTGCAAGAAGAGAAGGCTGTAGAGGGAGAAACTTATGGTGTCGATAAAGGGGATTCCTCCTCGTCATTGTCGTCGTCGGAGGAGGGGGGGGAGGAGGAGGAGGAGGAGGAGGAGGAGGAGGAGGAGGAG